CCTGAACGTAGTGATTATTTTAAGAACATGATTACTGGTGCTGCACAAATGGATGGTGCTATTTTAATATTTGTCACTGTTTTTTAGTTTTGTCGCTTTTTTGAGTTAAGTGTCACTTTTTTAAAAAAAGTGACAATTTTTATAAAAAAAAGTGACATTGTGTCACTTTTTATTTTACACAGTATTTTTTACTTTCTAAAAACCTTTCCTATGATTTTTCAAAACACCTCTAATTTTAAGTGTATTTTTGTAAGTACCCTATCATTTAATGCCACATGAACTGTATTTTCATGAATAACATTATTTTTTATATATTTATTCAAATTTGTATTTGGAATTATTATTTTTATTGCAGGTACATTTGATTTTTCCCCTTATTAGAACCGAAAAATCGTTACAACAAAATGGCCCATTACCCAAACCACGCACCACATCAGTCACTACTTATAGAACGGCAGTGCAATCGACCCCATTCCCTTGAAACGTCCTTTCAAATAATTGTATTAGGTAGACACCTTTCGGTTCTTTTCAACTCCCTTTTTTCATCAAGAACACATCCATGCCAATGTTCGATGAGAAGGATAGTAGAAAACCAGAAAGAAAGTATGGAAACTGAGGAAGAAAAATGGATCAAACACTATTCATCGCTTCATCGAATACTGTTAGTGGGGGAAGGAGATTTTTCATTTTCTTTGTCTTTGTCTTCGGCTTTTGGCTCTGCGTCCAACATTACTGCTTCTTCTCTCGACTCCTATGGTTTGCGTTTGCCCTTACTCCCCTTTCTTTTTCTGGAAAAATGGCGTCATTAGATTATCTGGTTTATTCTTTACTTCGTTCTCTCTATTGTACTATGTTCTGCCCATGGATTGAGGGAATTTGTGAATGGATTCACATGTTTACCTGATGTTTTTGTGCTTTCATTGTTTTTTTTTTAAATTTATTTATTTATAATATATTCTGTAATCCATATGGTTCAAAGAATTTAATGGAACTTACAATTGCTCTTGAATGTAAAATGCTTCTTACTTCTGTGGTTATTTGTTTCCTCGAGGTTAATGCCTTGTCACTTGTTTGTTTGTATGTCCTTTAGCTAAGTTTAATCTATTTCTTGTGCTTTGTTTCCTCTGAGTAATTCCTTTTGTTGAAACAGATGAATTAATCATAAAGTACAAGGATGCCAAATCAAATCTGTTTGCTTTGAAATGTAATGGGGCTTCCATTTTACATGAAGTGGATGTAAAGAAAATGAAGCTTCATCCAGGTCTTAAAAAACAGAAATTCGATCGAATTATTTATAACTTTCCTCATGCAGGTTTCCATGGGAAAGAAGACAAGCCCATTATTATCGGGTAAGTCTGTTTCTCACAATGAAAAATAATGAGCTGAAGTTCACTGTTTGTGTGAATCGCGATCTATAGTTTAACCATTTCTGGTTGGGTTCCTGTATTTGTTTTCTTCTCATTATTTGTTCTCTTTGACACAGCTCAAAATCACTGCGTGTGTGCAATGCTTGTCACTTTCTCTGTTGCAATTCCTTCAGTATTTTTCTTGTAAAGGTTAGGATTATGCTTTCATAAACTTTATTTGCAGGTTGCACAGGAGTCTTGTCTCTGAATTTTTTAGAAATGCACGTGACATGTTGGAAGAGAATGGTGAAATACATGTTAGCCACAAGACAACGTATCCATTCAACAATTGGAAAATTGAGGATCTTGCATCAAACTATTCTTTAAAGTTGATTGAATGTGCTGATTTCAAAATTGATGACTACCCAGGTTACAACAATAAAAAGGGAGCAGGTTCCAAGTGTGACGAGCCATTTCCATTGCGTGAGTGCAGTACCTTCAAGTTCATGCTCTGCACTTCTGAGGCTGAAAAAATGGTGAGGGTGCGGAAGAGGAAGTTGGACTTAGTACAAGAAAAATCTCTAGAGATCCCAATCCAGATGGAACAACAGCCAGCTGCATTATTTGATAGACGACTTCCATCATATCCGGGTACATTTACAAGTGACATGCGTCTGCACAATGGACTAACATTGCACTCTTACATTAGAAATGAATGCAGTAGAATATTCGGTGGTTATCTTAATCATGTAGAGCAAATGTTTGGAAGGATTGGTTATGATGTTCATGGTTCCCTTAATGATGCTCTGCGGCTCGGTTTTGAAAGATACAAGCGTGAAGTCCATGGACGACCCTTGAGCGGTTACATTGATATTTTGGAAGAGCTTCACCATCTGAGCGTTCTGAGATCACAAAGGTTGAGACAGATGCTAGCAATTCTTGATATGCAGCTGTGAAGAATCTGCTGTGTACATGATTCACTAGCTTTTTTTGTCAATAGTAACTCTTTGCAAGTAGGATGCTTCCCATTTTAGAAATGGTTGTGACTAATCGGTCGTGGGCTCGGGTTGATTTTTGGCTTTTGTATTTTTGTTAATATTTCTAGATTGTGAAGCGTTTCTGTAACTAAGAAATTTTAAATTTTACTCACTATTTTGGCTGCTGCTATATTGCCTGGGACTTTTCAAAGTCTACACTTCTCTTCCAATTTGTTAGCAAGACCGGTTCTTTTGTTATTTTGATTGACTTATTTTTCTAAATACAATAGTTGATAAGCCGTGGCATTCTATTTCGTGGAAATTACATGATCGAATTCAACATTCTTGTGGATGATAAATCTTGTGGCTTTGAACATTTCTCTCGTTTCTGTCATATCACTTTTGTTCCAAACGCAAAATGTAAAGATTTTTCCATTTTGCTGTGGCCTGGCAAAACCAAGATGCCAGTTGGCACCCCATGTTTGCCCTAGCAGTGTAATGTAATTCTTATAGACAAAACTAGTTTAGGCAGGTGCGATGCACGTGCTGTATTCTAATTGGGTATTTAATAGTGTTGAGTGGTTTGAATGTATATTTTTTTAAAAGGTATTGTTTGTATAATTGTATGAAGTGATATAATTGTGAGATTTTGTAGCAAAGCATATTCAGTTTTTCTTCCTTTTTCTTTTTCATATACATAGGGATCAAATATAGTAGAATGGTTATTATTTGATTCTTGCTAGTGTAACCAGATGGAATATGTAGGAGAAGCAATTGGTAAAAAAACTAAGGCAAAAAGTAAATAATGATTAAATAAAGATGGATAAAAACCAACATGCTATGTACAGTAAATTGCAGAAAGTAGTTCACATTGGGAAAATTTGTGATATCCAAGGGTATTGCCACTAATAGTTTACCATTTGGAAACTGAAAATAATGATGAACATTTGGACGGAAAAGAGAATTTTAATACAGTAGTTTGGATGTTGAATTAATCTTAAATTTCGAGTAGAAAAAAGAAACCTACATCAGACGTTTAAATATAGAGAGGGAAAACTATAATTTACGTAAGAGTCCAACTTCCATTGGTAGGATAAACTTTGTTCATCAGGAACATTGGGGTTTTATTGTTCACAAGTTCGAATATCTACGTGTCACCTATTTGAAGTTGTTTTTCTGTAACGTAGGCTGACCACGATAATAGCAGAAGAGAAGAAGGCACGACATTTTCGACTTTGCAAGGCACCTTTTTCCCTACATGCAAAGCCAGAGTTGTTGCAGCTGACACTACATTGCCACCTATCAACACCATCAAAAGTGGTGAAGGAAGGCCGAAGAGTAAGAATAGTGGTGGCTAAGCAGCAGCTGGAGCCGCTGATCATTAGTACAAAGAAGCCCAAATCGAGACGAATTTCACTTAAACTCTTTCTTGTTGGATGTGAGTATAAGAAGTAGTGGCAACTACCATTTGCTTTACCTACGAAGAAACAATGACATCAAAATCCCAAATGTATTGAGTTCTGCACTGTGACACTTACTGCTGCCATAAAACTTAAGCTATCATCCAGCAGCATCCCAACCCGAAACTTGAAAGAACCAGAAATTTTAAAATAGAATACCCAATAATCATAAAAGGAAAATTTAAAAATTCTTTTTTCCTTGTATAAGTAAAACTATCCTCATATTTGTATGAAAGCTACAGTGAAAAAATCTACATATGGACTCTGTCAATTCTTCAAAAATTACCTCATGTCTTTCAATGAATCCTTGCTGCTTGAGATTATATAACTGGAATGAAACTACAAGGGAAAATGTCAGGCATCACCAGCTTGAAGCAATAGCAGCATCAAAATGTAATCCTAGGTTTAATGAAAATAAATAAACCAAGTTGCATAAACAGATAATTAATCACCAGCATACTATGTTGCTTTACAAGCAGAAGTCAAAGAAAATTGAAATAAAGAGCAAAAATGGTAGAGAAATAACAGCATAAAAGGATGACACTTACAATCAATTTTATCTTCAATAGGAGCATTGGAATGGTGTCAAGTACCACTTCTTCTCAGGGATTGGTCGTGGAATGGTCTTCACTTGGCATGGATTGTTTGGAACACCGCTCCAGTTTCTTCCAACAACTGTACCAAGAAGTGACAGGGGGAAAGAAACAAAGGCCCAGGTTATGAAGACAATCACCATCGTGCCAAAGAGAATGGCTGCTAGAGACCTATAAAATATTGCAATAGTGTTCAGCATGAAACCAATCCCGAAGCACAGAAAAGGAAAAAGTGAAGCTGTGAGAACCGTTGAGTTGATCCAATTTTTGCCTGTGATATGGACAAAAGTATAATTTAGCATAACTGCGGAACCAGTTTGGTACATGAGTAAGGAAAGCTATAATAATAGGCAAACAAGTCACAAAGCAGGGAGAAGGTTGGGTACAAATGGCTGCATTTACCACCATGGCGTGAGTACATTCCACCATTGATGTAGCTCGAGAAGAATGATGTACAAGCATAACATATAATAAAAGTGGTGACAATTGCACCTCTACTGGACAATTTAGTATAAACCATCAAGGTAGCAATCTGAATCAAATACCAAGAATATAAAGTAAACAAAAGTGATGCCAAAAAATTTTAAAGTCTACTTATAAAAAATAATCCTATAGCCTTGCAGAATACTACTGGTAAAATGTCAACTGAAAAATATATTGAAAAAGCCCATGCATACTCTGAAAAAAGGATTGGGGAATGGAGGGAGTAAGTACTTCAAATAATCTACAGAGGACTAAGATGACTAATTATAGATTGCAAGTAAGTTAAAATTAAGTTGCATTTGGCATACTCGATATACAACATTCCAAGAATTGGGAAAATCCACCATGAGTACTTATATTACTCGTCGTTAATGTTTTGCAAAAGTAATTCATCGGTTGTTTGCTAGGAGCACCCAGATCTGTAGGAAGGAAATTAACATCCTTTTGCTCTTGCTGCATTAAAGGCACATTAGGATTTAACTAAACTGAAACAAAACATGAAATAATTGAAAACCCAATCTTAATATAAAGTTGATGTATTGGGCTCAACGGTTGCAAGGTCATTTGAGCATAAACCTCATCTGTCTCAATATCGGCATGAATAACAAATAATAAGCTTCTAGAACAAGCCTGTAAAGGATAATTGGACCTCAACCAAAATTGAAGATCTTTTACATGCATTGTCACATTATGAAGTTGACAAATTAGTTGTGCAGGCAAGCTCGGGTAGTTTAGTGTGTGCGCATCAACTTTCTTGTTGGTTGATACAGCAATCTGTTGAGAAAACATTGAAAAACTAATGAGCTTAACATGATCTTATTTTGAAGACATATCTGCCATCAATGGCACCAGCCAAAGACCAGAAGTAAAAACAAATTAATAGCAAATGTATAGGGTAACAAGATTCAACCTTGAGAAAACTGTAATTTATCAACATAAAAAGTCAATAAACAAACCTGTTTGTTGTGACCCTACGGAAAATACACCACATGGCTCTCATCAGCAAGTAAAGAAACAAGAGGACCAGCACAGGCATGCCAAAGTTCAGACTATTTGGTTCTCGGAATAAGATTATATACTTATAAATTGCAACATGTGTATCTGATCACTAAAAGCTAAATGAAGAACATGGATTGTGTACTTCAACTTTTTCGGCGTAATCTGATTAAGCTTAGTGGAGAATTTGTTACCTTTTTGTTTGTAATTTGAATGCTATATGTTTTTGCACAACCAGAATCATGAAGGAGGAAAGCATTTATTCCAGCAAATATCAACTGCAAGTTTTTGTCTGTACATCAGCATTCTGTCTGAAGAAATTGATTCTATTGGATATCCAAGAATCAAGCATTATATATACTTCAGCAAAAGACAGTTTGGCCTATGAAGAAAATGGTTTGAATTAGATTATATACATGAGACTTGTTACCCTCTCTAAAAACCCCCTTCTTAACTAAAACTTATCACTATACTACCCTTTACACACCAACTTTTTCTTCTTTTTCAATAACTACGCTACCTTTTATAATAAAATAACTTCTTACACACCAATTTTTACTCAATTGATTTACAGTAGAAAAATTTAATCTCTCCCAAACAGGCCTATAATATAAACGTAACGAAATATTATAATAAAGAATAGACATATTACTTACCCATTAGTTGCGCATGGTAAGTTAGGCACGATTTCGACTTCCATTCTTTTTTTTTTTTTTTCTATTTTTCTTGATGTCTGTGTGAATAAAAAATGATGATGAGAGTACCAAATATTGGACGACATTTAATGCTGAATTGGCATATTCCATGATTTCTTGTGGTGTATGAATAGTATTACTACAATCATATATCCTAAATTTCCACTCACGGAAATTTACATTGAAGAGGTACCAGTTGCCCGCAAATTCTCATGGGATCAATAAAGAATTGCATGTTGTCCATGGTTTACCAGCTATTGATACAATGCTAATTATGTATGCTTCCAATCGTTGGATATCAAAATAAGGTTGATCCTTGCTTGCAGTTTTTCCTTTTATGCTTTTCTTTATTGTACAGTGGTTATCGCATTCGATTTCAAAGCCGAAATCTAAAATTGCATACTCTTTTGAAACGAGGTTGGAAGTGTCATTCATAAATCGCCTCAACAATGTAAGCTCCTCTTCAAGAATCTAGTGATAAATAAAATCAAATGGAAGATAGTAAGTATGGAATAAAATATTTTAGAGTGAATAAAGTTTACTAACTTTCATATTGATGTTCTATGTTATATCCAGAATAGCTTCAGTGTATCTTGTTTGTACAAAGTACCATGATCCCAGAGTGCGCTGCATAATATAATTTAAATTAGATGAAATATATAGAAGTAAAATTATGATAGGTAAGTTATTACAGCTCTTGCCTAGATGGATTTTTCAGTATCCGATCTCTAAGTTCTGTGTATTTCTCCATAGGGAAGTCTTCTAAAGGAAAGCTTTTCTGAAATTGTATTTCTTTTCCTTTATCTTTTCTTCCTTCCATAAATCTGTCAACATGTTGAGATGTCGAAGTTCTATGGAGAGAAACGTCTGCTTGAACACAAGCTATAGCACTTTGCATATTAGATTGCCACTCTGACAATTTATTCAACACGCTGTTATTTTCTTCACTGATATATGATGTTATAGAAGTCAAACTGGTAGTGAGTAAGTTTTCATGGTTGAACGTATGTCTTCGTATTGCTGTTGTTGAGATTGTTGACACTGTTGGAAGTGTTCTTCCTGCCAATTATGGTGTTGTTGAAACAATTCTTGTTGGTTGTGAAGAATTGTTTTGTAGTGATTTTGTGATTCATCAATGATGTCCGTTTTGAAGGTATTGCACAATTTGATACATCCGTTGCTACATGTTCTCTATGTACATTCAGTATAGCTTTCAGGTCTTCTTTGGCATGTTGTCTATGGATATTCAACACGTCTTCAGTTTCTTGTTTAGTGACATAATTGTATTGACTGGAAGAAGGTTGGCTAACTCTAAATGCAGTATGTGTATATGTTGTAGGATGACTATCAATGTGGTGTGCTACATTGTTTCTTACTCTAACAAGGTCATCCAGTATGTGATATTCACTGTCATGCGGTAAAGAAAGTGTGGTATACCACACTCTTTCTAACTCTTCTTCATTTGCTTCTAAAATTGCAATGACTTTAATCTGAGTGTATTTGGAAATTATATAATTAGGTGGGTATTTCTTTAAAAATATATAACTAAATGCATGATGTAGTGGATATAATGAAAGTACCTGTTTGCGAGCCAAGTAACTTTTAACTGTTTGTTCTGTCAAGAATTTATTTGGCTTCCATTTGTACATTCTTGGAGCCTGTGCTGTTTTGTATCTATGTCGTCCAAATTTTGCTCCAATTCGAGGGAATGCTTCGTATATCCAATACTAAAAGAGGATTGATATAAGGATTAGATATTGATAAGTGCTTTTTTACATACTTATTTTACTGTCAAAACATGCGCAATTGTTGATTAATATGTTGGAATATAGTTTAATTCCATGTAATTTATGTTTTGTAGGACAAGTGATGAATGTAGCGAAATTGAGGAGAAAAGTGCGCAAAAGGACTAAAATGGAAGAAAGCGGAAGTCCAGGAACCAAAGTACAAATACTCTAAACTTGTTTCTAACCTTATGACGAAGATTCAAGAGTGTTAGAGGTCAATTGGATGAAGGAAGGAGTCAAAGGGATGAAACATAGTCAAAATATTATCATATATCAACTTTCAAGCTGAAAAGTTTTGCACCGATTTTTAGCCTCATCTTGAGACCAGTTTTTGACATGGTAGACGATCGAACTGGAAGTTGACATCTGAATCAAAGTTGTATATCTTTGAGTCAGCTTTCCAACTCAACTTGAATCACCTGAATCGGACATTAGGAGAGGAAGATACGACCAAAATACTGAAAACTGCTCGGCTGGAAAAATACGTACCCATGCGATCGCATGGGGTTATACCNTGAATAATTGATGTGATTGATCCAATCCAGTTGAGGGAATTCCGACGCTTCACTACCCCAAACTATTGATTTTAACTTTACTACTTCAACATTGAATTTACTACAAATTTGAGAGGACAAATTCATTCTTTTTGGAACCTTTAAATATTTTTCCATCTCCTTGTGGATACGACACCCAAAGCTACACTACAACACCGCGTAACACTTTGGGCGTAATCAGATATTATATTATATTTTTGAAGATGCAAAATATACAAAATATCAATATGCATACAAGAAAATACCTAGAATGTAAGTGGATATCCATGTAAAGTATATTTACATTCATTTTCTTGATTTTGTTGCATCTTGTGTAGTCTGTGCAGGTGAGATTGTTGCAATGAATTTAACAAAACAAATTTGAGAGGACAAATTCATTCTTTTTGAAACCTTTAAATATTTTTCCATCTCCCTGTGGATACAACACTCCAAAGCTACACTACAACACCGCGTAACACTTTGAGCGTAATCAGATATTATATTATATTTTTGAAGATGCAAAATATACAAAATATCAATATGCCTACAAGAAAATACCTAGAATGCAAGTAGATATCCATGTAAAGTATATTTACATTCATTTTCTTGATTTTGTTGCATCTTGTGTAGTCTGTGCAGGTGAGATTGTTGCAATGAATTTAACAAAACAAATTTGAGAGGACAAATTCATTCTTTTTGAAACCTTTAAATATTTTTCCATCTCCCTGTGGATACAACACTCCAAAGCTACACTACAACACCGCGTAACACTTTGAGCGTAATCAGATATTATATTATATTTTTGAAGATGCAAAATATACAAAATATCAATATGCCTACAAGAAAATACCTAGAATGCAAGTAGATATCCATGTAAAGTATATTTACATTCATTTTCTTGATTTTGTTGCATCTTGTGTAGTCTGTGCAGGTGAGATTGTTGCAATGAATTTAACAAAACAAATTTGAGAGGACAAATTCATTCTTTTTGAAACCTTTAAATATTTTTCCATCTCCCTGTGGATACAACACTCCAAAGCTACACTACAACACCGCGTAACACTTTGAGCGTAATCAGATATTATATTATATTTTTGAAGATGCAAAATATACAAAATATCAATATGCCTACAAGAAAATACCTAGAATGCAAGTAGATATCCATGTAAAGTATATTTACATTCATTTTCTTGATTTTGTTGCATCTTGTGTAGTCTGTGCAGGTGAGATTGTTGCAATGAATTTAACAAAACAAAATAGGCAGTGCGTCCCCAGGGATATTCAATGAAGTTGTCAACATCCTCCACCATATCAAGAGTTTTATAATTAATATTTCTTCTTGAAGGCGTCAAGACACACTCCACTAACATAACCAATCCCAGTTTAAATTTGTCTTCTCGATTTTTACACAGATGAAATGCTTCAAAAAGTATTGTCATGGTAATTTTTTTTTGTACCATCGAAATACTGATTTCGAAGTCTATTATTGTTGTACCTCAGATCAACTGATACCTCTTGACACGGTAAGCCTGTGATAAGGTAAAACTCTTGCAAGCCAAAGCGTGCCAAAGCATCGTTTAATTTAACCCAAACTTCATTCTGTTTTCCACAATCTACCAACCTCATTATGAATTCGTGCACTAATTTACTGCTGAATTATTGTTTTTCTTTTTCTCTGTACATCATGCCACAGAGAAATCCATGGAAGTTACTACTCAACGAAGAAGATTGGTCATCTGCATGTATCAGCTCAACAAAATCTTTGATGTATCTATAAT